AGAGGGCTTGGAAAGATAGTAGCATATTTTTTAAAGGGAATAAAGCCAGAAAAATGTAACACTTTCATCTAGGAACTTTCTCCTCTACTATAATAATCTTTTTAAGAGAAAGGACGACAAAAGTTCTAGTCTTTGAAATTTATTGTCTTTCTGCCCCAAATCCACTCTTTGCTTTGTTTTATGATGCTGGAGCTGGACCCTGAAAATTTGTCTTCTATCTCAGCTGGTGTAAAGTCAGGTTTGTCAGTAGAGGGTGCTGGAGGAAGGGGCTTTTCTTTTGGGTTCTTGTGCCTTTTCCTTCTTGCTCCTATAGCCCGGGGGCCACTGGGCAGCTTCCTGTGGGAGACCTGGTGGTGCACAGCCCCTGGCGAGTTTTGCTAGCACCCCAGCCAGCTGCTTCCAGAGAGTCCCACCAGCATTCCAGTGGAACACCCCAGTGAAATTCTTCACCATCCAGTGAGCCACGGCACGTCTGCTCCAGTGCAGTCTGAATCTCAGCCTTGAGAAGACATCCTCTTGCAGATTTGTTCCTTCCTTGAGTACGCTTCTCAGCCTTAAAGATAGTGGCTGCTCCCTGTATCTGTTATTCCAATATTCTTCAGAGATCTCTCTACCTTTCTTAGCAGTTGATCTCTTTTGCCAGTTGACATTCCTTTCCATCAAAATTTTCCTCTAGAAATTATTGCTGGTTGCTCTCTCCTGGCTGGACCCTGCCTAACATGATGGTAGGCAATACATGATTAATGAATGGGTGAGTTAGGGAGTTGAGGAAAGATGCTTTGTTTTCAACTTATTGCTGCTAATTTATTCTTTTTTTTTTTTTTTTGAGACAGAGTCTCACTCTGTTGCCTGGGCCAGAGTGCGTGGCGTCAGCCTAGCTCACAGCAACCTCAAACTCCTGTGCTCAAGCGATCCTCCTGCCTCGGCTTCCCAAGTAGCTGGGACTACAGGCATACGCCACTATGCCCGGCTAATTTAATTTCTTTCTATTTTTAGTAGAGACGGGGTCTCGCTCTTGCTCAGGCTGGTTTTGAACTCCTGACCTTGAGCAATCCGCCTGCCTTGGCCTCCCAGAGTGCTAGGATTGCAGGTGTGAGCCACCGCGCACAACCTAATTTATTCTAGATGACTGGACTGGACTGTGTAGCCCTCTTCGCTATCTGACTCTTGTCAGATGTTCAGATTTCTTAGGAGTTACACATTTGCAAGTATTCTAGCAAACCCATCTTTCTTCTTCAAATCAGTTAACTATATGACAGATTCTAGTCGCACCAAGGATATAGAAACCAGTTTCCCTCTCATTTGCTCCATCTGCACAACCATCCTGGATTTTCAATTCTTATTTTATTTTATTTTATTTTGTTTTTGGAGACAGAGTCTTGCTTGGTTACCCTGGGTAGAGTACAGTGGTATCATCATAACTCATGGCAACCTCAAACTCCTGGGCTCAAGCCATCCTCCTGCCTCAGCCTCCTGAGCAGCTGGGAGTACAGATGTGTGCCAAAGGGCCAACCAATTTTTCTATTTTTAGTAGAGATGGAGTCTCACTCTTGCTCAGGCTGGTCTCGAACTCCTGAGCTCAAGCAATTCTCCCGCCTCGGCCTCCCAGAGTGCTAGGGTTACAGGCATGAGCCCCACCGCGCCCAGCCTCTGGATTTGCAATCTGTCCTGTTATTATCAGAAACGATGTGGCCAGTTCTAAACCCTGCACCATTTCCCAGGTCACCAGCACTGTTCCTGATGCAGGTGTTCTATTTTGAGAGTGCCATAGATTTTACTATTCATTTCCACAGGAAATTACTAAACCCTTAATACAGTTGATATTCCCAGGCTCTGAACAGTGCTGTTTTTTCAATCCACAGAAAGCAAGTTAGTATATAATACATTCCTATAATTTATTTTGGATCATAAATCATGTCAGTAAAATAATCCAACATCTTGTTCTTATGTATCTCTGGGTCAGACTGAGAGAATTTTTCTCCTAAGACAGGAAGACGTGAAATGTGAAGATCACAGTGAAGTGTGTTTCTGTGACAGTTTGTACAAATTGCCTGTTTACATCCACCCCAAACACTCTGGCTGAGTGAACCAAATCCTTAAATTGAACACAGTTCCAAGCGGGGAGTGCCCAGCCCTCCATTAAGGCTGATAGAAAAGCACATCAAGGACATGGTGCGGTTTTTCTTGTTTATGTCGTGGAACAGACACCGATGCTTAACTGCTGACTGTGTAAATTTAGCCTGTGCGACAGTGGGGGCTCAGAGGGAAGGGACCAATTTGGGAAATAACCTCCTGCCCACATCACGACATTCGGAGACCCAACAGAAGACCCCAAAGCTCCGGTCCCACAATATGTGCATTTTATAAAGCACACCCGCCCTTTGGCTTCAGGCTGTGTATGACCTGGATTCTTTTTATAATTTTATAACTGGGTTGGAAAGCTAACAGTGTAGTATGTCATGGTCAGTATGTCAACCGCGAAGTGGGTTCAACGTTGCAGAAAGATCCCAGTAGTCCTTTAGTGCATTTCCCTTGTAACTTGCGTCAGTGGGATCTGCTGAGCCGGGTCTCAGATCCCCACGCCTGAAGCTCTGAGTTCTCCGAGTGGGTTTCAGGGTAAATTGTATGCACAATAGCAAAGGGAGTTTCTTTCTGGGGTGGAGGGCAGGTTTAGGGAGTAGAGTAGGAAGGGGAGAGGGTGCCACTTTTTACTAGCCATTATCTCAATTTTAACAGTTGTCCAACAAAGCATCTCTAGTCATTTTCAAATGGACAACCTACAAGCCCCACTGCTCAGTTGGGCTTAAATATTCCCACATTGGCCAGGCGCGGTGGCTCACGCCTGTAATCCTAGCACTCTGGGAGGCCTAGGCGGGTGGATCACTCAAGGTCAGGAGTTCAAAACCAGCCTGAGCAAGAGCGAGACCCCGTCTCTACTAAAAATAGAAAGAAATTAATTGACCAACTAAAAATACATAGAAAAAATTAGCCGGGCATGGTGGCGCAGGCCTGTAGTCCCAGCTACTTGGGAGGCTAAAGCAGGAGGATTGCTTGAGCCCAGGAGTTTGAGGTTGCTGTGAGCTAGGCTGACGCCACGGCACTCTGGCCGAGGCAACAGAGGGAGACTCTGCCTCAAAAAAAAAAAAAAAAAAAAAATTTCCTACATTGTCACTACTGCTCCTGAAAATAATTTTTGTTAGTTTGTGAAAGTACAGTTGAAGGCACATTTTTGTTTGATATGCCACTATCACCAGCCAATGCAACAGCAACCCCAAAGTGCTTAGGATGTGAGATTCCTCTTCTATTCCCACTCCATGACAAACAGAACATCCCTCAGATAAACATGAAAAGTGATGACTTTATTTATGTTTTTCTCTTTGCAGTCAAGTTCACCCACAAGAAGCCCATTCTCCACCACCCAAACCCTGTCAAATATTTAGGGCATAGAATTACTGTTTTGTTTTTTAGTTGGCCCAGCAAAGACGAGAATTTTTAGATCTCTGTAAAAGCTGCATTCCAGTAGCAATGGTGTTTATCTTATGACTGAGTCATGAATTGCAAACTTTTTTTTTTAAGGTAGATAAGAGATGAAAGAGGATAATTTCCAGAAAGTGATGGGCATTGGGAAGAATGCTCAGAGGCCCTAGGTTTATAGCCCTTTCCTCGTTCAGTCTACTTTTTATGTCATTCTTAGAAGTGGTTAAGAAATAGGAATTTGGGGGGCAAGAGGGAGGAATGAAGACTGTGGGCGTTAGGGAGGGAATGACCTCAAGACCCAAAGTGAGGAGAATTCCAAAGGAGGGGGTGGGCGTGAACATCTCCAGGGTTTCCAAGAGCAAAAAAATCTGCTAAGACCAGCTCTGGAGGCAGCGGCAGGAGCCTGCAGAATCCGCCTCAGTACATTCATTTTGCATGATGAGTAGCAAACCAGGCTAAAAGAATTAACTGAACCTTTAGAACAGATGGTTCCTGGGTAACAGGATGTCCCCTTGTCTTGTTTATTCCAGAACAAACCATGTCTTTGAAAACATTAAAGTCATAACACAGTATCCTAATTGGGTCTCACCCATCTTTGGGAAGAACAGTTGCTTTTGAGTCAGTGTTTTTCAAACTGTGCTTGTGTCCCATTTGTATTGTAACTTAATTTAAGTGATGTCTGACCAGTATGTTTTAGTCGAATGTATTACTAATACAAAAATCAAAGTGCATCTCCTATAGTTTTGTGAAATGTTTTGTTTCAGTCGTGCGTACATATAAGGGTATGTATGTGCCTGGTTGTAATGGAAAATGTAGTTCTTACTGTGGATTAAGATGCAAAAAGTAGAAAAATACTGCCTTGGGCAAGCTTAGAAGGCAAAGAAGGAATTGATTGTGGTATGTAATTAGCAAAGGGAGCACACACTGCCCAACTCTTCTTATAGGTGGTGCGTGCGGGAGTGAGCGAGTGAAAGTGTGCGGGCCGTGGCGGGCTAGGCCTTGGCATACTTTCTCCTGAGAATCAGAAGTCATCACAGGCAGAGATTTATTTATGGAAATGTCACTTAGTGTGACAACTCAGAATACCTGATGTGCAAAGCTACAGCTTCATATCAGGGCTCTCGAGATGAAGAGATGTCCCTCTTGCTATTGACTTTAAATTATGATGAGTTCTTAAATATATATATTTTTTCAGGTCTCAGTATCTTTGCCCAGCTATAGTAGCATAATTTCACATGGTTTCTGTTATGAAGAAAAAGTTTCAACTGACTTATTTACAGTGCCTGGCTCCTCAGGCAGCAGATTTCCTGAATACACGTATTTCCTTCACAGAAATCTTAGAAAACCACCCAAACAGACTGAAAAATAGGTCTACTTTGGTGTTTCCGGTCAGCCTTTCAAGTCTCTCCTATGTGGTAAGGAGATTAGTGTAGACAGCTAAGCAGACACCCCGTAGGGATGCCAGAGCGAGCTCTTCAGTAGAAGGATGAGGCACCATGATGCTCAGAAACTGAGAGACACCATCACCGATTAGTGGAGCATTTATTAATATTTGTAAGGCGCAGACTGTGACACACACACACACAAGAAGACAGTGATGTAAAATGGCAGGCGTCTTCCCCAGAAGTCTGCTCGCAGCCGGTGAGCTTGGTTGCAGGCAGTACACTCTATGTGGCAGAGGACTTGGGCTCCATTGCCTCTGACACAATGCAAGGACCTTGTTCTTCAGCAGTAGCTGATGCTCCAAGCAGCTTTCTCTGCACACACACGGTCGGCCATATAGCGTTCAGTATCATCACGCCGGCTGAGGAAACAGGTAACCACCTCCTCCACCACGGCATTGCAAACAGCCAAAAGCACACTTGCTGCCCAGGCTTTGTACAGAGCTGGCCTGAAAATGAGTCCACATCACAGGCAGGTGACAGGCAGATGGCTACAAGACTTACTTAAGGTGGAGGAGAGCAATGGGAATGTTCCCATGTTTCATGAACTAGAGCGTGTTCCAAACCAAGCAGGGAACTACCCACTGCTCTCTTCTTAGGAGATCTGGCAGGTTCTTTTCCTCATTTGAGGCCAGTGCCCCTAACCAGGTTCTAAAGTTGACAATGTCACGTTTCCCTTGCCATGTCCCCTGATGCTTAGATAGGGGTTTATCTTAGGCTGGGGGTTGCTAATTCTTACAAAACCTGGATTTCTGGGACGTACTGTTTTTTTCTTAGCGAGAACCTACAAAGTCTGTGTTTATACTTGACTGAAAGAAATGAACCCACAGCCTCTTTCGTCATAAATATAATGCCCTGGGAGAGGATACAGCAGCAAACCAGACAGACAAGGTCCCCAGGGGTCCCAGTACCCAGTGCAGTGCCTGGCAGGCGGTAGGCACTTAACATTCATCGAAGAGACACGCGAATGATGGCTGGGCTGAGACCGTTGATGTCACAATGGTGTTTCCACTACAGTGCTTCACATCTGTGAAACCACACACTTCCATCTCATTGTTAGCAATGGTATTTGCTTTTACTTGTCCAGTGTTATGTTGGAATTCGATTTATACAAATGGACCATTACAGATAAATACCTTAGATTTCCTCTCTGGGTACCTTTTTTCTGGCCAAATCTTCATACTGAAGAGACATGAAGCCACACTGCATTATCCCCAATTTGCCTGCAAAGGTTTACTAAAATGATATAGATTCATCTTAGTTACAAAAACAAAGAATTATGAAATCATTTTGCTGTACAATTGTAGAATGCTATTATTGACCATAATGTTAGCTTACTTAGTTCAGTTGTCCTATTGCTTTGAACTTTCACAGATTGTCAATTTTTCTTTCATTCTAAATATGACAGTTCAATTACTAAGGAATTAGTTTTCAATTAATAATTACTTCAATTCCTTATAAAACTTGAGCAAACACTCTTACTGGTTTTTTTCTACAGTTATCATAACACTACTTAAGAGTCCCCATTTTCCAAAGAAGATTTGTAATAGCACAGTGGAAAACAAAGGAAAATCTCATTTTATAGGCGAATGTAGTATTAGATAATTAGATAAAAGTATTAGATAATTGAGTAACTTATACATTGTATCCTATTATTCTCAGTGGCTGATGCTAATCAGTTTAACTGCTTTTGAGCTATATATTTCCAAATATGATTAAAACACACAGTCTCACAGTAAATTTAAATGGCTTATTAAAGGCATTTACATGGATGGCATCAGTATCTCATGTCAGAGATGAACGGTGTTTCTAATTTGCCAGCCACTTGGGTCAAGTTTCCTTTAAGCAGGAAGCGCATTTATACAAGTAATGGTAACACAAATGGTCTCTTGGGAAAAGCGGTTTGTGAGGGCTTGACATTTTTGAAGTATGCTTTTGTATATCTTGTAAGTGGGCATCTTATAGGCATTGGGCCAAAGCGCCTTCAAGCCATGCTCCTTAACACAGGTGTGACCGTGGTCCATGCTGCGGGAAGGCTGGGACAGACTCCCGGGTGTGCGTTTGCAAGGGCGAGGCTGAGTGAGCCAGGGCCGGGGATTTGAGCTGCCTTCACTTGTATAACTTGCTTCAGGACCTGCACCGTGCTCCTTAGAGTATGGTTGGGAAAGGCAGCAGCATCTTCCGCACCTGGGAGCCTGTTGGAAACGCAGCAACTCCACCCCAGACCCACTGACTCAGAACCTGCATTCAAAGCCGACGCCTGGACCATTTGCAAGCACATCAGAGTTGGGGAAGCACCTTGCTAGGACCCCAAAGCCTCTGCTTATGGGTGGCCGCGCTCAACTCACGGCGTCACTTTCTCTCTCCATCTCGCTTCCAAAATCACCCTCTGTAGAGGACAACATCCCTCAGCCATTGCTCCCCTTTCCTCCCCATCACTCCCATCCCCAGTCTCCAGACCCAGATGAATTTCCCGACGCCCGATGTCCTCGCCTTTATCAAGAAACCACTTCTCGTGCTCTCCACCTGACGTCATGGGGGGGCTTCCTGCTGCTGCATAACCTTAGGAAGGTCAGGCATGGGAATGACTGCTCCCAGGGCTGCGGAGTTATCCTGCTTTTCTGTGGCTGAGCCTCCCCTCCTTCATGGATTCTGCATTGGGATCCTACCCTCCTTAGTTGTCCGCCAGAATCCAGTCTCCCCTTTCTGCCCTAAATCCCCTCTGTTCTTGAGGAGGAATTTTTTGGCCCGGTTTCTGCTAGTGGGATGCTGCCTTCCTCTAACCTAGCTGTAGTCTGCTTTGCTAGGACTTGTTGGGTACTGAAAGGGCAAAAGGGAGTCATGCCAGATGTTTGGGGGAATTGCAGACGGGGTCTACTCAGTGGAAGGGAATGGCGTGCAGTTGCTAATGACCCACTGGGCAGTCCCCTTAACACGCTGCCTTTGGCCCCACCTTTGCACCGAGGGGCTCAGCCTGTACCTGGTGCCCAGAGGCAACTGGACATCCAAACCCAGACCCAGACTGCCCAGCCAATTGGCCCCTAGAAGCAATTTGGTCCCTCTGTTCCAAACTGTGCTGGGGTAAAGGGCTGTGCAAAAAGGAGGACTGGGCATTTAGAAGCGCGTTGCTTACAAGTTCAGGCTCTGTGGGCTGGGGGTTAGTGCAGCCAATGGTCAAGGGAACATTTTTGGGTCAGCCAGGTGAGGACCTCTTGAGGCTCCTCTGGAGCAATCAGCACCCAGAAGAGACTTTTTTAATCAGAGGAGACTGGCAGGGGCAGAAACAAGATTGCTTTCTGGCCATAGTGAGTCCGGGGGCCGCGTTTGCAACTTCCATTCTTCTTGAGGCCAACAAACCAATTCTTCTCTGCGTGCTTCTTGGATACGTAGGTGTTGTAATGGTTTTCCTCCAGCCTTTCCAGGAACAAACATTCCTCATTTGGTGTTTGCTAAAAAGATAAGAGAGTAGAACTATTAGTGAATGAGTTTAAATGGGGTTTCCCTATTTACTAGCTGTGTGATCTTGGGCAAATTACTAAAGTTCTCTGTCTCTTAAGGTAAATCGGGTCAGTGATGGAAGCTATCTCAGATGGTAGACATGAGGACTTAGAACAGTGTCCAGCACATAATGACCCTTTAGTCTGCATTTGCTGTTATGCTAAGCTGCCCTCCTTTTGCAGTCCTCAGGACTCTAGACTCTCCCACTGGAGAGATCCTGCCAGACCATAAGCATTTTGAGGGCAGGGCCGGATCTTTTGTCTCTATAGTGATCAGGTACATAGGCATGACCATGTAAATACATGCAAAACAGGTAAAAACCAGACTATGATGTAGTGGGTTTTTTTTTTTAAGTTTGGACTTGAAGAATAAATGGAAAGTTACTAAAATTCCTTTTCATTCTGGTGATTTTCACTAACAATACCAGTATTTTACCTTAGTATTGTTATGAACAAAATGCTTGTGCAAAATTCACCCTAAGCATAAAATACATCCTGGAATTTAAATAAGTTTAAAAAAAATGAAAATAACTTATTTTTTGCTGCTTATAAAAATGTACTTCAGGCTGAGGGCAGTGGCTCACGCCTGTAATCCTAGCACTCTGGGAGACTAAGGTGGGAGGTCACTCAAGGTCAGGAGTTAGAGACCAGCCTGAGCAAGATCGAGACCCCGTCTCCACTAAAAATAGAAACAAATTAATTGGCCAACTAAAAATATATAGAAAAAATTAGCTGGGCATGCTGGGGTGCATGCCTATAGTTCCAGCTACTTGGGAGGCTGAGGCAGCAGGATTGCTTGAGCCCAGGAGTTTGAGGTTGCTATGAGCTAGGCTGATGCCATGGCACTGTAGCCCGGGCAGCAGAGTGAGACTCTGTCATGAATGAATAAATGAACTTTTAAAAAGTCATCACTTTAAAGAAGTAAAACTACTCCAAATCCCACCACTCAAATAGAGGCAACTGTTAACAGTTGATGAACGTCCTTCCCTACATCTTTTTATGGACAGACATAATAGATAAGGCTATATGGATATAGATTTGTGATAGTACCAAAATGGCATTTTGTATCGCTGTTTTAAAAAATGGGCAATAAACCTATGAAAACATATTAAATATCTCTAGCAAGAAAAATGCAAATTAAAATATTTCTCATATGTTAACTATACTGTGTACAAAGATCAAAAACATATACAAGTCTTTGTCATGGTGAAAGTATGAGACATAAGCATTTTCATGTACTGTTGGTGAGATAAATTGGTGGAAACTTCCTGAGGGCAGTTTGGCAACATATATCAAAATTTTAAACACGCATTACCTTTGACTCGGCAATTTCACTTCTAGGAATTTACTCTTAGCGGGTAGTTAAGCAAGTGTAAAACCATATTTTTGAAGATAGTCCTTGAAGCACTGCATATAAGGGCAACAAATTAGAAGCAACCTATATGTCCATGCAAAGGTGATTGGCTAAGTAGATAAAAGTACTGTCTAGTGGAATTTAGGACAGCTGTAAGTTTATTATGCTGAAAGGTATCTCAACAGGTTAAGTAGTGAAATTACTTGAAAAAATATCTACCAGCCATTATTCTGTTTACTTGTAGTTCATCTGTTAGAGAGTGGGGGGCAAGTCAGGTTTTGAATTTTTCTCTTTGTCAGGATTTTAGAGCACGTCGTTTATTTTAATTTGGATTTAGGTCTATTAGAACGCTCAGGCTGTATGTTCAGGGCACGGACACATCTCACTGTCCTCCTTGTCCAAGTCGTGTCACCTATACATTCTCCCTTTGCCCACCGTGGTCAGTGATTTCCTTTCTGGTGGTTTCCAATCATATTGTTCATTGCTCTCTACCTGTGGGCATGTCAGTCTCATCTGATTATAAGCCCTCTTGAGGAAAGAGATGGGATCTTGTCGGCCTTGTGTCCGTCCTCCAGACACAGAGCCTTGCAACGATAGGTGCTCACCAGCCAGGTCATGAATTTTAACTTGATTCTCGAGTTAAGAGAAAAGCAGTCAATGAAGTGAGCTTTTATTAGCGAGCAGTGATGTAACAGGAAGTATCCTGCCTCTTATTTGTGTACAGTCTAGTGAAATGACAACTGGGTGAGACACTTTAGATCATTTTAGAACAAGAAGAGAGGTAAATATAATATGTAATTGGATGACTCCGCTGCCCCTAGAGGAACTGAGTCCAGACACTAGTGTTCGATGCGCGTCGTCAGGGGTGGGAGGAAGTGTAGGCGGTTTTGGATCTGCCTGTGGGTTGCCCACTCTCCCGTGGAGAGGACTCACTCCCCGATGCCCCTCAGTGGGCGTCAGGCCAGGGTGCTGTGACGAAGATGAGGATGGCCACGTTCCCCACCTGAGGTCTCTCTCTTACGCTGGAGCAGTTGACACACAAAATAGCTGAGTCACAGGCTGAGTCAGCAGGCCGACTCGGGGTGCTCTGTCTCTCTGCTGGGATTTGTCAGCCCTTGTCATGCACTGGGTACAGTGCTAAGGGCATACGGATTATCTACTGATTCATGCCTATTATTTTAATCATTTCTTTATATATATATATATATATATATATATATATTTAGCATGTTTTTGTTTTTTTCCAATTACATAGGCGACCTATACTCACTGTAAAAAATTTGGAAAACATGGGAAGGCATTCACATGCTATAAAATCACCCCTTTACTATCCCCAGAGATAAATATATTACTATTTTGCTATATAGCCTTTCAAACTTACTTCTTCTAAAACAAATATGTTCTTTCCCCACCTGCGCAAATCTGAATCAGGATGGATTAGTACCTAAAGTTTATTAGGAGCATGAGGTAGAGATTTGAGATATTTTAGAACTTCCCTATATCAAGGGGGAAACTTTAAACAATCTTAGGGATCATGTACTATGGTCATGTTACAGGTGAATTACAGTGACAACCAGGGCTATGGCAGGAGGAGGGAGTGCCTGGGGCCTGGAGGAAATTGGATTCAGGGAGTTCCCTCTCAATATTTTCTTTTTTTTTTTTTTTTTTTTTTTTTTTTTTTTTTTTTTTTGAGGCAGTCTCACTCTGTTGCCCCAGCTAGAGTGCCGTGGCATCAGCCTAGCTTACAGCAACCTCAAACTCCTGGGCTCAGGCAATCCTCCTGCCTCAGCCTCCTGAGTAGCTAGGACTACAGGCATGCGCCACCATGCCCAGCTAATTTTTTCAATATATTTTTTAGTTGGCCAATTAGTTTCTTTCTATTTTGAGTAGAGACAGGGTCTCACTCTTGCTCAGGCTGGTCTTGAACTCATGAGGTCAAACGATCCTCCCTCCTCGGCCTCCCAGAGTGCTAGGATTATAGGCGTGAGCCACCGCGCCCGGCCTCAATATTTTTATGTAAGTGTAAAAGCAGGTTATAACAAACATCAAAATTGATTTAAAGGGGAAGGAGCCATAAAACTGCAACATATAACATAAGGCACAGGCGGGGTGAGGGACTCATGAGCAGGTAATCTGTCTTAGAGCCACCACTGATGGAGTGCCTCTGTCGCACCTGCTGCCCTGAGGGTGTGTTCTGGGTGCTGTCTCACTGAGCCCTCGTACGCCCTGTGTGATGCAGTGACTCCGTCACTAGCCCCCGTTCAGACAAGGCTCAGAGTGGTGAGGTAAGTTGACCAAGCGGTAGAGGCATGAGCTTCAACTATGAGTCTGAGATTGAGTGATGGGTGGGTTGATTTTAGTACCAATCGGAAAATCTACCTTAAAAAAAAAATCTCTCTATGTAGTAGTCACTGCTTGTGCTCCAAAGCCTTTAAAGCTGTCCCAGCTGATCCGTATTTTAGATGCTATTAATACCGTGTTTCCCTGAAAATAAGACAGGGTCTTATATTTATTTTTCCTTAAGAAGACACCCTAGTGCTTATTTTCAGGGGATGTGTTTTTTCCCCTCAAAGCCTCAGCTTGCAGCATGCACAGGATGGCCGGGACCTGACAGGGGGGGCCGACCTTGTTGGTGGGGCTGCCCACACCTTTGCGGTCACCTCTGGGATAGCAGCTGTCACGATGGGGCAGATGAGAAGGGCTGCTCGTCTTCTTTACCGCTCCGCATACGAAATGCACAGGTTGTGCAGACGCGCTGCATAGCCACGCCCATCACTAGGTCTTATTTTCGGGGTAGGGCTTCTATTGCGCACATGCTCAGAGATCCTGCTAGGGCTTATTTTATGGGTAGGTCTTATTTTCGGGGAAACACGATAATGCCTGTCACTCTGATGATTCTAACGTCTGACCCCCAGCGGGCGGGGAGAGAAAAAGGAACCGTGTTCACATCTGGAAGCTTGGCTGGGATGGCAGATGACAGCTTCCAGGGAGGGAGTCCCGTGCCCACTGTCACTTCGCCATTTGACATAAGTGAAAGAAAGCCCCGGACGAGAATCCCGCCTCTTGGCTGCCTTTTTGTAGACATCTTCATAAAAGGCAAGAAAAGGGTCTGGGTTGGGTATGAATTACAGCCACACCTTAATTATCAGATGTTAGGATACAGAAAGTGGATCATTAGAATCTAGAGATAATTTCACAACTTATAGTTGTGAGTTTCAGTTAAATTCTTCATTCTCCAGTTAAAACTTTTAGCAGAGATACGGTAGGAGCAAAAGCAGATTGGCTCTATTTCTATTTTTTTCTCACAAAGACCGACATAGACTGGGTCAAACTCGTGTAAAGGCATCAACTGTGAGAGGGGGAAAAAGCAGGCCATGTGGGGGATTTTAGCTACTGAATAAATAATTTGACTCTATCTCTCAACGTGGCTCATTCACCACTACACCCCTCTTTCAGTACCTAACATGGTACTTAGACACAGGAAGCATTTGATAAGTGTTGAATTAAGTTATTAAACTTGTCATCCTTTTCAGAGATCCTTCCAGCACAAAAGGGGCTATTTTCAAAGTTTTATGCATGACACATAAACCATTGCAGCCCAGGTCCTGCAGTTTCTGTAAAAAGCCTTAGGAGACACACCTATAGCACGTAGTAGGCACTCAAGAAACACTTCTGGAATGAATGAATGAATGAATGAATGAAGTGGGATTAGGTCTTCTAAAATGAGTGACCGAGGAGTTACGAAAACATCAACCAATGTTTCCTCTGTGTTTATATGATAACACGTGTGAGTATTTTGAGAGAATACCGCAAGAAACTCTTTTATGTTTGTGCCGAAAATAGGGCAGGGTGAGGGTAGGAATCCTCCTGGAAAAAATAACAAACACAGACTAATTGTTGCTTTGGAGTTTGCATCACTGCATGTAACAAGGTTTCTGGAAGCCTCAACCCTTGGCGGCGTCTGGAAGCGTGTCAGCCTCATACTTACTGAGCCGTATAAAAGCCCGTCGGCGTCCATGGCCAAGTACCGGCCAGTCTGGGTGCTCTTTATATACACCTCCCCCGCGCTTTCCGCACTGAGCTGCAGCTGAACTGGAATAAAAACAACACGAGCAAAAGTAAATAAACACCACGCTTCTGCCGATAGGGCCCGGCGGCCAGGACAGTTGGCCATGGAAAGTTCTGTTTCGTTCACTGCACACAGCCCTCAACGATGAGCCTCAAATTAATCAAAACATAGAAATAAGGTTCCTTTTCCTTTGCCCTCCAAAGGAAGCTGTCCGCTGGGGATTATATTCTTAAGAGAGGGAGGAGGGACGATGGCCGGATCGCCGACCTGTCCACCCCGTTGGACACGACGCTTTGGCGTGCACCGTCACAGTGCCTTGCACCTCTCCTCCCTCTCTCTGTCTCTCTCTGTCTCTTTCTGTCTCTCTCTGTCTCTGCCACCTGGAGGAAAAGATACAATGAAGGTTCAGTCGGCCCGCCGGCCTCAGCGGCTACCCGAACTGGAGTGCAGGCAGAGGGGAAGCCCCCAGCTTCTGCCTGGGAGGAGGAAGCAGCTACCTGGCAATGCAGGGGTGAGAACAGTGGTTCTCAGCTGGGGGTGATTTGGTTCCAGAGGGGACGTTTGACAGTGCCCGGAGACGGTGTTGGTTGTCGTCACGGGAGGTGGTGTGCTACCGGCATCTACGTGGTAGAGGCCAGGGATGCAGCTAAACGTCCCCCAGAGCACAGGACAGCTGTCACGGCAAAGAACTATTCAGCCCAAAGAGTCCATAGTGCCCAGGCTGAGAGACCTTGGAGGTGGAGGGATGGAGGGCAGGCACTGTGAGTCACACTGAGTCACGATCTCCCCGTTTACACCCATCCATACCCCCTAAGACGCTTTGCCCAGTGCTGGGTATGTAATGGGAGTCCAACATCTATTTGACGGTTATTAATTTGTTCATGCACCCCAGGGTGCCTCTCGAGGAAGGTGCTTTGATGGTTTACATTTGGCAGTTGGAATTAACTCTGGACTCTTGTGGACAATTCCTTTGTTGACCAGGCTGTTACAACCATCATGATGATTAGGAATGACATCTAGACCCAGTAGCTCTCCAAGAGGAGGAGGGGACATCCCCAAGGGTCAGCTTGTCAGAGGCCAAGGGGCAGGAGCGGCCGGAACACCGGGCTTTGGTTGGCAGATCTAAACCCCTCATTGCCTTTTCTTTGTTTTCATTTAATTTCTTCGAATAGGAAATATACTTACATGCTTCAAACTTGAAAACAATATCAGAGAAGACAGTGAAAAGTCTTCCCTTCCCACCTTTCCTGTCTCCCACTATGAAGGGGGCAGATAAGATCCTTGCCCTTGCGCCAGAGCGTACCTGGGGGTAAGGGGGGTGGGGACACAAAACAAGGAAAGCCCTCCTGGATACTGTACCTGGAGAGACTGTGTGCATACATTGCCAAACACATATTATCTTTCCAACATGTTCCACACGAATGGTAACATAGTATACACACAGCTCTGCACCTTGCTTTTTTTGCTTAACAACTAATTGGAGATCTTTCTACATCCCTAGTACTGAGAGAGTTAACCTCATTCTTTCAGCCGGTTGAATTGTGTTCCGTTATGTGGCTATACCACAATCGTTTAACCGCTTCCCTATTAACGTGCCTGTATTTTCTCAATCTCTCCTTGCTTTCCTTCTCTCCTGATTCATCATAGGGGTGATCCATCGTTACGTCACCCTTACTGAAGATGCAGTTCCCTTGTCCCCAGAAGTCTTTGCTAGACTCAGGACTTCTCTGGCTTCCTGTGGTAAATGGAGTTTCATTCCCAGGAAGGAAACTGGAAGCCACAGATCCACTTTCCCACAGGTCCTGCTGTTTTTGGTTAGCTCTGGGAGTGCAGGCACGAAAGAACAGGCTAAAGGGGCCTCCAGCCTGACCTGGGCCCTGCCTTCTCTAGCCTGAAGTCGCAACGCTTGCTCACTTAGTGGCTCTGCCCTCCCTGTTGAACTCCTTCAGGACGCCACGCGCTCTCCCACCCCAGGATATTTGCACGTGCTGTGCCCTCAGTCTGGCACCTTTTCCCTCCGGGTATTTGCAAGGTTGACCCTCCTCCTCCCCCAGACCTCAGCCACGATGTCCCACCTCACAGAGACACCCCCCTAATGCCCTGGGACACGCTGTGCATGGTCGTTTCACCCTCACCCCACTGTCCCTGCCAGTGCCACCCAGTCCCCACATCATTCTCTTTTTCTGCCCCTTGTTTCTTTCGTGGCACTTAACATACAATTATTTTATCATTTAGGGGTTTACTCGTTTATTCCTGCCTCCCAGAGAGAATGCACACTCTGAGCGGAAAGGCAGGGATCTTGTCTGTCCCCCTTGGGTCCCAGCACCTCACACCGTGCCCTCCACACAGGGGACAGTCGATATGTATTTGTCGGATGAATGATGTTAGGCTGCTATTGGCAGAGGTGATTCTGCTGGCCAGTAATCAATGAGCTGCGCGCTCGGAACTGTGTTTCCAGTACTGCTCTGTGAGTGCCGCGAGACGGGGCCGAGGGGAGAGGGTAGGGCTCAAGGCTGGGCTCCGCCACCAGCCAGCTGGCTGACCCTGGCCCGGCTGCTGGACCTCTCTGGGCCACGGTCTCCTCATCAGTGCAACGGGGGATGTTTGGGTTCAGTCTCTATAAAGCGCTTTCCAGGTCTACCAGGCTATGAAGCACGTAGATGCCTTTAATGACAAGGCTGCACACACTAGAACATTATTTGGCAATAAAAGGGAACAAAGTGCTGCTGATGGGTGCCACGACACGGACGAATCTTGAACACACAGTGCTAAGTGCAAAAATAGCAGCGGCACAAAAGACCACCTGTTTTTATGATTCCATTTAAATGAAATGTCTAGAACAGGCAAATCCGTAAAGGCAGCAGGTAGATTAGTGGTCGCCAGGGCCTGGGTGGGGCGGGGATGGGGGCGTTACGGCTGAAGCGTGCAGGGTTTCTCTTTGAAAATGTTCTAACATCGCCTGGGAAGGAGGTTGCACAACTCTGTTAAGAAAAGTTGTCAGAAAAACCACTGCATTGTGCACTTTAAATAGGTGCATTGTATGGTACGTTACTTAAATCTCAATAACGTTTTTTTTTTTTTTAAATGTGCTATATCTTCACTGGGCTTTATGGTTTTCAGAGAACTTTCACATACGTTTTTCTATCAGTGCATAGAAAAACACCATTGTGTATATTTAAGAGAGACTAAAGGAAGCGGGTACACTTTTCTTGATCACCCACCGTGTGCTAGGTATCATGCCAGTTTCCATGCTGGTATAAGTTGTGTAAAACAGAAGCAGGGTGGGCTCCAGAATGAGACGGCATGAATTCCAACTCTGCGTGGCTGCGTGTTAGCTGTGTGATCACTGGGCAAATTATCTACGTCTGTGTCCTTGTCTGTAACGACAGTTGTCGTGAGGTCTAATGCAAGGAAGGTGGCCAGTGCTGCTATCATCAATTTCCTCTGCTTTTCTGACCTCATCTGCTCCCTGGAGGCAGGCGGCACCTGCCCCATCCCATAGATGCGGCGCCGGAGCTTGGCGAGAGCATGTTTCACGCAAGGTTGTGCTTGTCAGACAGGGCAGACCATGGCCAGGACCCAGGCTTGAGTATCCCATGTATCCTGCTTTTCCCTATTTGTCACGCAACCTCCGGGCCCCAAGTATGAGATAGCTTGGTCCCACTCCAGCCACACTCCCCTGCTGGGACCCCCTTGTGTTCAGATCAGACACGCGCAGCATGGCAGGGGTCGTCCAGGGTCCCATGGGGAGCCATGCAATGGGGTGAGGTTCGTTGCCTGGGACTTTCTCCACCGACCACCTGTACAGATAGGTATTTAGTCAAGCACATCATAGGCGCTGCAGAAATCCCAAAGGGCAGGTCTTTTAGGGCATCAAAAGCTTTTTTTTTTTTAAACAAAAGAGCCTTTCATTTCCTGATTGTTTCTGTTCTGCTGCCTTAGCCTAGTACCCACTCGCCTTGCCAGGGGGGTAGGTCGAGTTGATTTTGCATCTGCGGAGTCCCAACAGGGCCAGGCGGCCCCGCGGAGGGGGCCGGGGCCGGTGGCCCACCTAGCGCTGACTCCAGCCCTCAAACACCAGCCCAGCACCGGGGCTGCCGCGCTGGGGAGAGCTCGTCTCGAGAGTTTCCTCTGTAAATATTATTTCTCCAGGATGTCCAAGTTTCATAGCTCATTTTCACTGGATTTCTTTCTGGCTACGTTTCCTAAACCTATATCCTCTGCAAGCGGGGCTGGCAGGAAGGAGCAACACCCAGCCGGGGCCGCTCGCATAGTGGACTGGGTGTGCGGCTCTCGAGTGTGACTTCACCCCAGCGTTGCAGACCTGCACCCTCCTGCGGCTGCCGCCCGGGACGGGCGAGGAAGGAGGGGGCGTGGGAGAGGGGCCGCAGAAAGGGGCTGGCCACGCAGCAGCAGCAGCAGCGCCTTCCTCTTGTGGCAGCGCAGGGAGGGGCGGGGGGGGGGGAGTTCGCCGGCCGGGTCCGGCGGGCTCCGAGGGACGGGGGTGACAGGCGGGGCGGGCAGGGAGCGGCGGGGGGGGGCTATTCATCGCCACCTGTTCGTCTGCCGGGTCTGGGAACTGTGCTCAGTGACACACCGGTCCCTGCATTCAGTGCTTCCCCAGTGATGAGGGACACGGACAAATGAGCCTATGAATGAGCACACAGCACGGTAACAACAGCTCCGCTTGATTCTGAGCTAAAAGCAAACAGAAGTGCAAAAACTACAACAAAAATCCTCCCTCCCCCATATAGATGTGGAAAAACAAATTGTGGCAGAATATAGTAAATTCTTGATGGAAGTTTTGGGGGAAAAAACCACACGCACAACCAACCATGTGCATAGCTCATGAATATAGATGTAATAAAAAATACATACAACTGTGCACTAAATACAGACCAAATTCACACAAGTAAGGGCTCTGGGGAGCAGAAAAGGAGTAAGACTGGGGAGAGCAAATGCTTCCTTCATCCTAACACTTTATTTCTTTAAAAACAATTCTCGGGCAAGAACGGCCGGCTGG